CTCCCTAAACATCGCGCTAACTATTATTCCGAGATTATTATCTTCGCTATAGGAGACTTTATAGAACTAGGGCCTAAGTAGCACCGTTAGGAGGTAACTATTGCTCTAGAGTTACTAAAAAGGCATTTTAAAGGTAGACGTTCCTAGGGAGATATCGAAGCTATCTTAGTATAGGGTGCGCCTTAGGACATAGTAGACGACATTATATATATGTAGCTACGCTCTATTCCTATTAATAGCAACAACTAAGGGCTTAGTTACTCGCCTATCTTTTCTAGCTAGAACGTAACTTATCTAAGGCCTTATACTAGCTTCTTCTCGAAGCTCCTATCTAACCCGAAATCCGGCGCCTTAGAGGACAAAGCCTTAAAATCTGGCCTATAAAAGCATTTACCGACCGGTCGTTCTATACACTTAATACCGGGCGCACTAATTCCTACTAGCTAGGTTATATGCGTCCTATAGTACCTAATCTCTATGTCTATAATGCATGTTGTTCTACTAACGAGTAGGCCTTAATTCTAGATATTTATGCCCTACGTAGCGTTTTACAGCGATTAAGTCTATCCTATTTACTAGGATTTAGACATTGCGTATAGCTATAGCACGAGCTTTCTTAGTATTTACTAATAATTATAACTAATGTCTCGCTAGAATGCGCTAGTTCTTAATAGGATTGTTAGTAGGATCCTAAGACCCCCCTTACGAGTCGAAACATACTAACTAGAACCTTTAATGCTAAAGGATGCCTCGTTCTAGTTGTTTTTAGAAAGTTTGCGTACGATCGGTGTTAGTAATTACCTGTTCCTCTATTACTATAACTAATATAGACCGAGCGAGCTTAAGGACCGTTAGTTATTCCGTACTAATCTACTAGGCTAGGGATATAGTATAGAGGAGGCTCCGGTTGTTTAATAGAGTGCTCCTATAGCGCGAATGTATCGACATAGTATATACTAGTAGAGACCTATAATTAGAAATGCTTCTACGAAAATCATTTCTATCCTAAACCCTAAAACATATAGGATTATCTCTAATCGGTCTATAGCGGCCTAATCGTATTCGGCTATAATTACTTTCTAAGCTATGTTTACTTTCTAAATAATCTCTTTAGACCGTCCTACATCGAAAAAATACTTCTACCTAATCTATCCTTAAGATTAGTAAGACGCTATAGCACTATATACGAAGAAGACGCTTACGTCGGACGTTTAGAGTTAATGCTCTTTAGCCCTCTAATATATGCCTTTCTCTCGCTCTCTATCCTATATAGCTCCTTATTAAATTTACTATACGAAGATAAGTAGTAACTTCTCGCTGCCGAGGGATAGTAGGGTCTATACGAGCGATAGCTTTTATACGAAGGCCTTATACTATCGTAGGGTGTATAACGACTTCTATACGGATAGGTATATGTACGACTCGACCTTTAACTCCCGCTATTACTATATCGTAACTTTCCTACACGATAGCCTATAACGGCTTAAACGGCCTAAACCCTCGGGTTCGCTAAAAGGTCGTCTATAGGTACCCGATAGCCTAAGCTAATATAGTATTGTTCTGGGTTTAGAGGTCTGTATAATCTAGACTCTAGTAAGAAACTATACCTAGGTAGCCGCGTTATATAACGTTGTCTGTTCTTATCTATTCGTAGAACACTAGTCGGGGCGTCGTAGCTATCTAGGACATGTCTAGATAACTAATTTCTCGGTCGATAGTTTATAGACCGGTATGTTAATATAATATTAAAGTCGCCTAGAGGTAGTGTTTCTTACTTATTAATAGTATCTTATAGACGTAGTAGGCAGAGAGTCTAGTTAATATATATAATGTAGCGGGCACTTTAGCGATATAGAATAGTAAGCAATCGACAGCAATTTAGCATTTTAGGAATTTAATTTTAATTTAGGGCTCCGCGCCTATACCGAATAAATGTATTCGAAACGCTACGGAAGTGTCTCCGTAATAGGGACTTAGGGTATAGTAATGTTAGCGGGACTACTCTACGGAGTAAGCTCCTATTAGATCGGGGTGTCCCTCGAACTTAAGTCCGTAACGCTCCCTTACGCAACGCGGGCCTTTTTAGTTTTATTATTCTAGTCGATACTTATAGCTATAGCAATGTATTACTATACGGCTCTACCTCCGAAGCGTCCGCGTTAGGCATCCCTCCGACTACTATCGGGTACCCTATCGATAATCTTGCCGTCCGCTACTACATAATAGTAAGCAAGTACACTCGGAGCGTATAGGCTACTAATAGGTTAGCACCCGCTATATATTTAAGCTCGAGTAGTGGTTTCTACTTTCCGTTTACTAGCTTAAATGAACTCTACATTTAGTGTTCCGTGTTACTATAGCTGCTACTAAGCTTAACTAGTAGCTAGGTAGTAGTAGAAGTGCTACGGTTGTATATAAACCTTAACCTTACTAGTAATAGGAGAGGAGGTAACTACTACGTCCCCTATAAGATAGCTTTAGCTTATTAGGAAAGGAATGCATACTAGTCGTATCTCGAACACTTCTACGGAACGTAATAATAGGCTCCTCCTAATCCTAGTTAGTATAGTTAGCAGCGATAGTTTAAAATAGCTTCCCTAGCACGCGCTCTACTACAACCGATATTAAACAATACTTTTATTAAAGTAGAGATAGTTTTGTTATATCTAGTTAAGGAGCCTATAGATCTATATTAAAAGTGTTTATTTTAGAGACTAACTTACTACGCTAGATCCTATATTAATTTCTAATAATACTTCTATATATAATTACCCTTTTACTTATTATAGACGTACTTTTAGCGGTAAAGATTATCTTAAAAACTATCTTACTTCTACGTATAATCTCTTCTACTTAGCGAGTAAGAAGGTAGTAGATTAGTAATATACTATTAAGATATAAATATCTTAATAATCTTACTAAGCTAAGCTAGAAGGTAGAGCTAGGTAGGATTAGGTTAAAGCTTATAGAATATCTATAAATTAAAGTAAAGTAGGAGTATTAGTATTCTAATTAGTAAGATAAAATAGTAAGTTATACGCGATATTCTCTATAGGAGATTATATTACTTCTATATATACTAACTATAAGAATAATTAAAACAATTATACTAAGTATACTAATTAAAGCTAATTAATTCACTTAATATACTTAGTATATTAATTCTAATTAGAAGTTTAGAGGTCTATACTTCTCTAATTAGAATAGTTATATAATCGGGTCGCTCTTTAAGCGATCCTATTCTTTCTACTCTATCCTAGTATTTCGTATAACTAAAACATATTAGCTATATAGGCTTTCCTATACTAGCCGTCGCCTATAGACATTCCTATATAGAAGTATTACTATAGGAGACCTTATAGAGACATTCCGTAATACTTAGAGTAGCGCTACTTCTATCTTTATAAGGTAATATTAATAATATAACTATTAGTACGTAGTTAGTAGCGTTAATTTAACGGTTAATCCTACTATAGAGTATAATTAACTAGTTAATTTACGCTAAACTACTTTAAGAAGGAACCTACTCTCCGCGGAGCTATCTAAGGCTATCTTAAGTACTAACTAAGTAGTATATATAAGCGTAATTAAGCTCCTTAATTATTAATTACGCATACTAGACAACACMGTAATTAAGGACAATATGCTTAATTACAACCGTGCGTCAAGTCAATTATCGCTAATACCGGACGGGCCCTAAGAAGCCCGAATAACCCGAGCGGCGATTAACCCTTATCTGGGTACCTGGGATACTCCGGATCATGCGGAAAATGTAAAGACGCAGCCTGACTCGAACAATACATGGTTCACACAACACATTCTTCCCAAACTCTACACAGTCTCCCACCTCATCTTCTTCTCCATCCTCGGCACGCTCTCGCGTCTCGTTATCGTTGCATTGACGACATACCCCGGTGCATCCAATGCAAATACTGTCATCTGGGCGAACGTATACGGTAGCTTGATCATTGGATTCCTGCGGGAAGATCGATTCTTATTCCGATACCGTTGGAAGCAAGCCGTGCAGGACGCAAGAAATCAAATGCAAGGAAAAGGGCAAACCAGCAACGCGATCAGCAGCGGAGAAAAAGCCGGAGACGAGAGCGAATACGAAGAGACAGCGCAGCAATTGTATTCCTCCAGGAAGATGAAGGCCSACATCTACATAGGTCTGTCAGTTGGCTTCTGCGGCTCCTTCACGTCCTTCGCCGATATCATCCGGGATGCTTTCCTTGCGCTGTCCAATGATTTCAGTACCGCGGAAATCTCGACACTTGTTACTACACACGTCTTGAGAGGCAGGTCAGACGGTACGTATATTTGGTTGGGTACAAGCTCGATCGAGACTTCCCAGACATAATGCAGCTCGGTTGTGTCTACAACAAGGCTTTGCGCATGCCAAGTTGGGACGTCTCAGTCGAAGCTTGTCTCAAATCGACAGCGAAGAAAGCTGTACCCTAACGTATTGCGGGATATAGTGTGCTCGCCGTGATCGGGATTCTTTGGCTACAGATCGCCATGAGCAGTGCTGCGCTGCAGCTGGGCGCGCATATCGCCACGGGAATTGGGCGCTATGCGGACTGCATCCCGCAGCTCGAAATTGAATTTGAGGAGGGCTTGAATAAAGTCGTCTTGGTACTTGGGCTGCCATTGTGGTTCGGAACAGTGATCATGGCAATCTGGCCGCATGAGGCTTGGCGCGGACAGGTCGTGTTCGCTATCGTGTTTGCTCTTGCAGGATGTCTGTTGCGGTTCTATCTCGCACTGTTTCTGAACCCGCGGATCGACAGCTTTCCACTCGGGACGTTCGCAGCCAATGTTCTTGGGACATGTGTGCTGGCGATGGTTTGGGATCTGCAGCACTCTCGCGTCGGCGAGACGATAGGGCGCCAAGTGTTGCAAGGTTTGGGAGATGGCTTCTCTGGTGCGCTTACCACGGTTAGTACTTGGGTATTCGAACTGAGGGCGCTGAGGCTGGTGCATTCATACGTGTACGCCGCTGTCAGTCTCATGGTGTCTTTTGCATTCATGGTAACCATCATGGGCTCCCTCAGATGGGCAAAGAGCTTTCAAGACCCTGTGCGTATAGCATAGCTGTTAAAATTGCATTGTCTCGTGGACGGGGAAGGTCTATTCGCATCATGGTTCATGAGACCCATTAAGGAACATCGGGTCGATGGAGGTTGTGTCCGTTTCCATGGCTGTAGAGGACTCGCCCACGGTCTGCGGGAGTGGACCATTCGGATCCAAAGTTGCATCCATTAAGTGACCAGGGAAATTCTCCAGACTCGCCCTCCAATCCACGAGGTTCATCAGCCATTGATTGTGGTCCTCTGTTGGTACGTTCGATCCAGGCTGTGTAATTGGCGCTGGCATGCCTTCCAATGGAAGATTCACGCCCATGTCTGAAGGCTGGAAGGTGTTATTCATGAGTTGGAAGAATTGTAGCATCGCGTCGTAAGTGTTGTTTGGGTTTGAAGCGTTCGACTCGATGAAGAAATCTGGCCCGGGCTCAATCGTAAACGATGGCTCATCTGCGACCATGTGGCGCGGCAATTCCGAGGGTGGCGGTGGTGGTTGCACACTGGACGTACACGAGCCAGCCTCGGGTTGGTTTTCTAGGCACATAGTTCCTGCCTCTCGGGATCGTTTCACTGGTCCACCACCGATTTGACCTGAGAACTCATCGCGACCCCGCTTTGCTGGTAAGGCAGCATTTTCTTTGAGAAGCTGCGCGGTGTCGACTTCATCTTCATCGATACCATCGACCGGTCCCCACTTGTCCAGTAACTGCAGTACATCAAAGTCTTCGGGTTTTTTTGACCCGTCACCCTGATAGTATGAGATTTTTGCTGCCATTACCTGCAGAGCGCTGGTTAATCGTCGCTGCTGTCGCTGGAGGAGCGCAGCCTGTCCATCGGAAAAGGACATGTCCCTCTTGGTCGTCCGCGAATAGACGCAGATGACATTTTTTCTGCTGCACGATCCACATGGGCGCTTACCATTGCACTGCAAGGATGTCAATCTCTCACATGTCTCTCGGGATCCTCCGGCAAAGTGATGATAATACCTTGGACTTTCKCAGGCGACACACATCGCAAGCGGTCTGTGWGCGTACGGGACCCCGGTTATCTGGCTGTTGCTGGGGATGCCTGGCGGTACCCTGGGTCGGTGCTGACGCCGCTTGGAGTGGCTTCTTTGGTTTCGGCACAATGAGAAACATTGCGCACAGTGGAGTGAGAGGGGGATTCTGTCGATGGTATTTCAAGGAGCTAGCCTGCAATGAAACACAACAAGGCCGTGTGACGTGCCTGAGGGAGATGGTGCGAAGCTTTTTTAGGTTTGGCGTCGCGAGCCGAGGCCCGAGGGTTGGTGGATTTAGTCATTGCCGGCCCTGGCTTGGCATGTTTCCTCATAACTTTCACACCCAACTTTGGCAGCAAACAGCATATTGCGACATAACTACTAGGTTAATCCACTCTAAACTTTTGAGGCATTTTATTTGTATGTAAAACTAGCTGTATACAAAATCCCAGGTGTTATTCACGTTCAGAACCGTGTATATAGGCCATTATTCTTAAAACACTYTATTACCCTACTAGGCATTATTAATACTAGTTTATTAATCTTATCTAGCGTGATCTTGTTCTATTCTTCGATAATAGCGTGCCTAAGTTGTTCTAGAGTAGTGCAGTAGTGGTTTTTAACGCGTTGTTTAAGTATACGCTATACGTTCTTAATAATTAAGAGATTAGGTAATTGTAGTAAGTTAGCGTATCGTCGAAAGAACTCCCCTAGGGACAGTTTGTACTTCTATACGATATTGTCTTTACTTCGCGTACCGTATAAGCCGTCGTTATCTTCCTTAAGCGTAAAGGGAATACCTTTAGAGAAGTATCGTCGCTATTTAGGCTTAATATGCGGAATAAAGATAAGATTAAGGTATTGCTGTTATGTTATGTTTCTACTACTCTTATACTTCCTACGACCTTTATAACACTCGTGTGCATAGGCCTGTTTATTCTTACATCTATGTTTATAAGGTTAAGTATCTCCTAATAGCCGTTATTCTTCTTCCTCGGTTTCTAATATAGCAGCTAGCTCGTTAGCTATTTAATTAACTGCCTCCTTATCCTATGCTAGATCCTTTATACCTTCGTTTATATCGTAGAACAAGAGTTTAGACTTATAGTTCTAGCCTACTATTACCTAGTAATAGAAGACGGAGGCTTTAGATCGTTTATTAAACTAGTAACAAGTCTTATAGTTCCGTTCCTGTTAGTTTCGAATAACTATGCCTATACGGCGTAACTCTAGCGTAAAATAAACCTCGTCTATAAAGCGTACGCTCTTCTAAAAGTCTATGTCCTATAGAATAGCTATAGCGTAGAAGTCGTACCGTTTATACACGTTGGCTATACGAAGGTAGCTCTTCTAATACGCCTTGCATTTATAGTATCTAGCCCTATTTAGTGTGTTCTTTACGGTCTATAGCGTACACCGTAGTTTAAACACCTCCTTCACCTCTGTCCACTTATATATCCTATGCTCGTAGGACTCTAATACGTACGTAATAATCTTGCGTAGAGTCTTTATGCTAATCTCCCTAGGTCTTGCTCTTCTAGTCTTCCCTATACGCCTATCGCTCTTTTTATTCTTCTAATGTCGTTGTGTACGCTTAGGAACACCTGTAGCCTTCCGTACCTATGTCCTAACTATACTATTATCGAATAGAATAGATGCTCTAGAGCGCTTTAGGATAGGCTATTCTTTGCGAATTCCGCCGTCGCGTTTTCGTGGTGTCGGCGGCACGCGGCCGGAACTGCGCGTGTGCATTTTCAAGAGCGTGATCAGGGCTTCAATTTGGCCTACTCAGAATGTGAATAGATGGCGTGGTTGTAAAGATATCGCGTTGTGAAGTATTGGTGTTTTGAAAGCTAATGGGATGAAAAGCGGCAACGACTAAATCCACCAAGCCTCGGCCGCGAAGTCGGCCTCATGCCTAGTCTCAGAGGCTCATCATGGTTCTCGAAGTCCCTCCCAAGAAAAGCCCTCGTTTCTTCCGCAACATCCTCCAGATTGKCATTGCCAGGCGCCATTGAAAGGACATGGACATTGCACATCCGGCGTGGCAAGTTGCTGCACAAACGAAACAACGGCAGCTCTGGTCGCAGGTTCCCGCAGAATGGAAGCTCGACGGGGATGTCGTAGCTGCCATCGTACACACCAATGTGATCAACGTAGTTCCAATGCATCTCAGTCCAGCAGAACGCCGAATCACGGAGCTACCGTTCTGCCGGTTGCTGGAATGTCTCTCAAACGGCGAAATCACTGCTCAGGAAGCGCTTTCCGCATTCGCCCACCGCGCCGTCATCTCGCACCAATTTGTGCGTGTGAAGAAATCACTCCTGATGCCAAGCTTATTCGATCGCAGACACGTTGTCTCAGTGAACTCAACCTAAGGGCTGCTCAGCAGCGAGCACGTGAGATTGATTCCCACTGGCGGCAGCATCGCTGCCCGATAGGACCACTGCATGGACTGCCCGTAAGCTTGATGGACCGTTTTCATGTTGGTGGTCTGGACAGCGCATGCGGCTTTGCAAGCTGGGTTGGCACAACACGAACAAGCCAAGACGAAGGCGGAATGGTTCACAGCTTGTCACAGCTAGGTGCAGTGATATTCTGCAAGACCAATGTCCCAATGAGCATGATGGTAGACTTATGCTTTTCATTTTGCTATTGTCCGTCACTGGGCTAACGGCAGGGTAACAGATGGGCGAAACCACGAACAACATCATTGGACGCACGGTAAATCCCTATAATCGTAATCTCTCAGCTGGAGGTGCTTGTGGTGGTATCTTATGACAGACTTGCTCCGGAACTTGTCCGTTCAGACTGACACTAAACAGGTGAAGGTGCTTTGCTMGCCCTCAAAGGCTCTCCGCTTGGCATTGGGACCGACGTCGCAGGTTCTGTTCGCATTCCTTGTGTCTTCAATGGGCTTTGGGGTCTCAAGTGCTCCGAAGGCCGTCTACCCCAAAATGGAATATCTACCGTGCTTTCTGKGCTGCCCACCGCCTCCGGCAGTATTGGTATCATGTCTGCTGATTTTGGCGGTGTCTCGACAGTGTTCAAACGTCTGCTGGATTCCAAACCATGGGCGTCGAATATGTATGTACTTGAGCTTCCTTGGAGACAAGAAAAAATCGATGCCATTCGTCGACGCAAGAGCTCCAATGGCTCCTCCGCAGATGGTAAACTTGTATTTGGGGTCATGGAGTCAGATGGCCATGTCAAGCCTCATCCGTCCACTGCAAGAGCAATCTCTGTGACGACTCAGGCGCTTCAGCGCTGTGGCTACGAGATTGTCAGTTGGAAGCCTCCGCCTCACGCCCCAGCTGTGACCAATCTCTTCCAGATCTTCGGCTCGACTTCTGCTAAAGAAGCACGCGAGGCCATTGACGCCAGCGGAGAACCTCCTGTGGCTCAACTTTCAGACTGGTATGAGCAAGGAAAYGTTCCACCCAACGATACTGCGGAGTTCTGGGATCTGTGTGCCCAACGCGACAAATACCGTGCTCAATTTGCAGCCTACTGGGCCTCAACCGGCGACCTTACACGGTACGGTCGCGTGCCCGACGGTGTCATTCTACCTGCGGCGCCGACCACAGCGGTGCAGAGTGGCGAGTTTCATTATTATGGCTATTCTGCCATAGCTAATGTTCTGGATTTCCCTTCTGGAACGATTCCCATCACATTTGGGCATCGTGATCTGGATGAGATGGAGGAGCGAACGACTTTGAATGACCTGGATGAAAAGGTGCATATGTCTTGTGAGTATTAGCATACCTGTTCCATCGGGAATCCCTCGTTTTGACACACCGCTGTGTTATAGTTAACAAGGACGACTCACACGATATGCCTGTTGGACTGCAAGTCATGTGCCCGCGCTTGCAGGAAGAGCAGGTGTTGGCTCTGATGGAAGCTATTGCCGAGGCTTTGGCCCATACGGCCTGACAGCCTCACAGCCTTCTTCATCACTTGAGACCAGCGGTTGTACTTCCGATAAAGACGTCCTACTTAGACGAACACTTCCCCATGGAGATTGGTGTAAGATTGGGATCATGGCTTATAAGTGCTCGTGAGTAAGGGCTACTATTTCGCTGTGTTCTTTGCTGCTGCACCGTTGAGTCCCCCAGCTTCTACATCAGCTGGCACTTGCTTCGCTTGCTTCGCCGTTTCGCTCAGACAGGGCGCGACGAAGAGCTTACCAGAGCTTGCTTCGCGAATGGTGAGCAGTGCTATAGAGATCCACATGATCGTCACCACAACAGAAAATATCTGAGATCGCATTAGTTCGATGCGCCTGCACTTATCAGAAAAAGGTCAACATACCGTTCCCAGCACGTTGAAGAAGCGCGACGGCATTTCTTTGCCAAAGGTCGTTGTCGCCACGGTGTAGACGCCCAGAGGGAAAGTAAACCCCCACCAGCCCATGTTGAACGGAAACTTGGATCGCGTAATGCTGGACAAGKCGAAGAACATCCACACCAACCCATAACCCCACATTATCAAGGCGACAACCCAGCCCAGAGTGTATAAAACATCTCCTGCAGCGGCAACTTCTAGAGTGTGCGTAACAGGCAGAATCTTTCTGGCAACTTTTCCAAGCTGCATTATTCCGAAAGCTCCTTGACCCAGTGGACCCAGAGGCAGGAAACAAGACACAATGACTTCCGGTGGTGGCAGCTTGTGGATTGTGAGGCGCTGGAAATAGATCACCAACACCGACATGGCAAGAGGTACTCCGGTGCCCCAAAGGATGTACGACGCTACCATGGTCCAAAGGGCGTGTTGTGGGTTTGGAAGTACCTCTGCCACAATGCCACCCGACGCCGCGGCGACAATGGTCGATACTATCGGAAGGAGCCAAACGGCCGTCATGGTGTTGAGTGCTGTACCTTGATGGAAGTACATGCTGCGCCAAAGGGTCAGTTACTCCGATCGCAGCTGGAAACTGGAACATACTTACATCGCAAAAGGGAGGAACATGCAAATGCTGATCGAAATGACAGCATCGATGATCCACAAGACCCATGCCTATCAGGAATTCGTGTCAGCAGACCAACCACGAGCGGTAATTCCATTCAGGGGTCTTCGCCTACGAAAGTCGTTGCCCACTCCCCCCAAGCGGGCACGCAGACAAATACAACCATATTCACAATCGTCGCCAGCCCCATTGGAAAGGTCCCCATGAACAGCGACTGCGCAGGATGGCGTATCATCTTTCCCCAAATCTCGGGCCAGAGAGCGTATCGCAGGATTGAAATCGCGAGGAAGAGGACGAACAGCACGACATTTAGGCAGAATATGGCGACGGATTTCCAGTAAATCCATGCGCCGTTATAGGGCAGGTTGTGTAGAAGGATGGACACGATGCCAGTGCCCATGATCACGGAAAACCAGGATGGGGTGAAATTGCGGACGATTCGACGCCAGCCGCGCTGGTTCTTGCAAATTGGCTGTGCTGGTTGAGCTCTGCATGCTGGTGCTGTCGTTGGCGAGGCGGAGGGCGTGAGGATGTCGGCGCTGTCCGCTCGCTTTGCCTTCTCATGGCAGTTATACCCCGATGCCGCTGGATCCATGGTCACGGATGAAAGATGTGGGAGTATGTTGTACTTTCAAATGTACGATGAAGGCCCGTCAAGTTTCATGAAAAGGTCATTGACGGTCTCTTCTGGCTGGCTGGCTGGCTGCGTATTCTTCTTCTCAAAACTGCGCCAGCCCGGAACACTAATAATATTGCAGCTGCATTCTCAAAGGCGGAGAAGTCGGTCGGCAGGGTCATCAATGCTACTTCGGTGCTAGCGCTGCCGCATGCGTCCGACATCAAGGTGTAAAGCTTAGGTAATGAGTGGCTAATGACGCACAGCGGAAGCAACATCTTCCATTGAGAAGTAACCATCAATGTCCATGGCTTCTGTGGCTCTAGCGCTGCCGCACGCGTCCGACACCAACATCAGGTGTAAAGCTCAATGAGTGGCTAATGACGTGCAGCAGAGCAACATTGAGAAATTAACGTGAATGTCCATGGCTTCTGTTCTTGGATCACACTGTAGAAAGGATCGGTTGACGTCTGAGCACCAAGATCTTCATTCCAACAATGCCCATCACATCGATACATGCCGCACAACGCCTGGACTCACGAGGACAGCCAACCGTACAAACGACTTTTACTAACGAACACGGCACGTTCGTTTCCATTGTCCCATCTGGTGCATCGAAAGGAGACTACGAAGCCGTAGAGCTTCGCGATGGGGACAAAAGCAAATATCAAGGCAACGGCGTTCTGAACGCGGTGCATAACGTGGAAAATGTCCTCGGACCAGCACTTATCAAGGCGAACCTCGACCCGTCCACGCAGCTCAGAGAAATCGACGCTCTTATGATCGACCTCGACGGAACCACGGACAAGAGCCGTCTGGGAGCTAATGCCATTCTGTCTCTCAGCATGTGTGCCGCCCGTGCTGGCGCTGCTGCAGCTAGTATGCCATTGTACGCCTTCCTTGCGAAGGAATCGGAGACGAGCACAGACAATTTCGTTCTCCCGGTACCGTTCATGAATGTCTTGAACGGCGGGGACCACTCAGGCAATGCAATGGCTTTCCAGGAATTCATGATTGCACCAGTTGGCGCGACATCATTCTCAGAGGCGGTTCGCTTCAATGCCGAGACCTACTCATGCTTGAAGAACTTGATTGTGAACATGCATGGCAAAGCGGCTATCGGGCTAGGCGACGAGGGTGGCTTTGCGCCGCCCATCTCACATCCCTATGAAGCGTTGGATCTGTTGGTGCGGGCGATCGAGGACGCAGGTTACACGGGAAAGATCAAAATCGGAATCGATCCAGCGTCGCAATCGTTTGAAAAAGATGGAGTCTACAACATGGGTTTCAAAACAGACAATGCACAAGATATGAGCCGCGAAGAGCTTGCTGGGCTCTATCATTCTCTGTTGGACAAGTACCCGATCGTACTGCTAGAAGATCCCTTTGGCCAGGATGACTGGGAAGCATGGTCGGCTTTCAACAAGGACTGCAAGGTTGAGCTTGTTGGAGACGATTTGTTAGCGACGAATATCGATCGGGTGAAAACAGCAACAGCCAAAAATGCTTGTAACAGTCTGTTGCTGAAGATCAACCAGATTGGGACTATCTCAGAGGCCCTCGTTGCGTAAGTTGCACCACATCTCGAGGGTTCCACCAACTGGAACAAACCTTGCTGACCTCAMCGTATAACAGTGCTAAGGAGGCTTTCTCCCACCAATGGTCTGTATTTGTGTCTCATCGATCGGGTGAAACGACGGACGACTTCATCGCGGACCTGACGGTAGGCGTTCGGACGGGCCATTTGAAGTCTGGAGCGCCGTGTCGAGGAGAGCGCGTAGCGAAGTACAACCGCTTGATGGATATCGAGGATGAATTGCGTGCGAGGGGAGTGAAATGTACGTATGCTGGAGAGGGCTTTAGAAGTGCGCATACCAGCTAAGTGTGGCAAGACATAGGAAACATGATCCTCGTGGGAGATTTTTTCTTTACGTTGCTGGCAGTGTTGATCTTGAGTATTGACACCCTATCTGCTAACGCTTGCTCCGGTCTACCGGCAATATTCCACTCATCCCCATTCAATGCTCACCCAGAACTCAACTCCTCTCCTCCACATCTACATCCGGAAGAACAGACCTCCATTCGCGTGGCAATGCATCAATGCCGCTGCCTGAGTTTTGCATTATCCATTTCATATGACGCCTTGTATTCATCCCTTGACCTGTCTCTTCGACGAGACCCCACGCTTAGCCAACCTCCAATCGACATCGACACCGCGGCCCGGTTTGGCACTGAGTCATCTGTGTCTATTTGATTCCCCTGGGCTCTTCGATTCCCCCGGACTTTTTGATTTCCCTGGGCCTTTCGATTCCCCTGGGTCCAGGCTTGTTGGTATAACAGCAAGAACTTTGTACTAGTGCGGGTGGTGAGATCCTGGGAGTTGAACGTTGTGGTGATTACGGTAAGGAGACGGACATGCCTAGCTGAATTTCGCTTATAATTTCACGTAGATGACGCCGACACCGACCACACGGGAACCTCAACGGCACCGGTAAATGAAGAACTCATCGGTCAAGGAGCCTGAACTAAACTGGAGCAGGAGAATTCTAGGCTGTTATAAGGTCCATCGCGTTTTTGTGGCACGATCTTATAAGGAAAAGATTAATTAGTCGTTACGATCTACACACTACTATATCCTACGACTCGTTCCTACAACCTTCTATTGTTATGCTCTTATACTAAAGCGACGTAGTAGCTTTCGGATCTTTTTCAAGTCTTTTAGTTCGGGCTCTCGCTTAGTAAGAATATATAAAGATAAATAGAACAATAGCCGTTCTCCTAGGTAAAGACCATTATAATCCTTATTACTATTTATATAAGGGGACCCTAAAGGAGCGGG